ACCCTCCCACCCCTGAGACCACCAAGGTCTCCTCAGGGGCCTGTCTGGACTTGGGGACGCAGGAGGGACTGGGTACTCTTCCCAAACCCTTAGAGCCAATGGAAGGGGCAGAAGGCCCAGGCTCTCAGGGGCCCCAGGGGTTCTAGGAAGGCCCAAGGCAGAACTTTCTCTAAATATGGAGCCCAAAGAGGGGCTTCTAAGGCTCCTGTCCTGCCCCGAGACCACTAGACTATATAAGTAGTTGCCAATTTAGGATTCTGTGTAAATTTCAGGGCAGGTGGGATCAGATTAAGCCCTAAACCTTCTTATCTCCTATTCCGGGGCTATGCAGGACCTCTCCCGCCTTCTAGGTGCCAGCCCAAGCCCCCAGAGACTCCTAGAGACTTGGGAAGCAGCTGAGGGTTCCCACAGCTAGAAAGTGCTAGAGGACAGACTGGACTAAGCACATATGTGTGTCTATATTATGTAAAGTCACTGCTTCTTTAGAGGTTTCCACTGTGACTTGAACTATTGTGCCACATGAGGTAAGCAGGGTCTCCTTCTGTTCTACCCACTGCTGGGCTCTACCTCCCACGTGGCTTTGCCCAGAGAATCAGAGAAGGCAAACATACTGTCTACGTCTGTATCTCCGTGGACTCGACTGTGGTCTTGAGTCTGGGAGGAGGATCCTGAAGTCTCCATTGCCTTCCCTGGAGGAATAACAATAACAAGTAATTAATATCACTTATAATGAATATCACAAGTCGTTAATAATCAATAACAAGTAGTTAATATCCTGAATATATAAAGAGCTTGGCAAACAAATAAGAAAATAATAATACCCAATTTAAAAAGATATAGGAAGAACAATTTACCAAAAAGAATTACAATTAGGGAAATTTGAATAATTTGAATAATGATAATTTTTTGACAATGTAAGAACTTACCTACTTTTAAAAAAATGACTTTAGTTTTTAGAGCAGTTTTAGTTCACAGTAAAATTGAGTGGAAGGTACAGAGATTTCCCATATACCTCTTATCTCCATATATGTATAGCTTCCCCATTATGAACATCCTCCACTAGTATTTTTTCAGATGTGATATTTATATTGAGGCTATATTTATTTAAAGTATCCTTAAATTTAGAGATAAATATTGAAATATTTATGATAAAATTATATGATGTCTGACACTGACTTCAAAATAAATTTGTTGGGTAGTTGGAGGGCAGAGGTGGGCATCCAGATAAACAAACATGACCATCAATCAATAGTTGTTGGAGCTATATCAAAATATAAATCATGGTTCTCTCCAGGTGGTGGTATTATGTGTATTTTCAGTTTCTTATTTTTACTTTGCATTTTCTAAATTTCTAACAACATTATTATTGTCATAATAAAATAACCAATAATTTTTCATTACTTAAAAATGTAACATGCCATCTTATATCAGTATAGCACTTAACAGTTTTCCAAGGGCTATGTGTCTATAATTCCATCTGAGCCTAATCACAAACCAGTCAGGTAAGACATGGGATTAACTAGTGCTCACACTGGAATTGTAGTTTCTAGACAGAAAAAACTTCCCAAAAGATTGTCTCATTTGACCTTTACAAAAAAAAACCCTTCAAAGTAAGTTTTATTATCCCCATTTTATAGAGGAGAAAACTGAGACTCAAAGAAATGAAGTGACTTGCTCCAGATGGGACTCCAGACCCATATTCTATTTCAGGTACTCCAAAACACTGGTCTGGGGCACAAAACTGCTCAAAGGCCACCGTGGAGTCCAGCTCCCGGGAATGGAATGCTGAATGTCCCCTGGGGACAAAGATCACTCCCACTTGAGAACCGCTGGCTTAGACAATCTAGTGTTTTTTAAAAAAATTTTGACGGACAGAAGAACAGGCCATATGATGGAAGCAAGATGCTACCCTGCTGGCTTTGAAGATGGAGGAAAAGGCCAGGAGCCAAAGAATGAAAGGAACACCTGCAGCTCTGGAAGCTGGAGAAGGCCTGGAGGCAGATTCTCTTCTAAATCCATTGGAGCCCGGCCGGGCGTGGCTCAGCGGTTGAGCATTGACCTAGGATCCAGGCGATCGGGGTTCGATTCCCGGTCAGGGCACATGCCCGGGTTGTGGGCTCGATCAATGACTCTCTCATCATTGATGTTTCTATCTCTCTCTCTCTCTCCCTTTCCTTTCCTCTCTCTGGAATCAATAAAGATATAATAAATAAATAAATAAATAAATAAATAAATAAATCCATTGGAAGGATATCAGCCCTGATTTTGGACTTTGCTCCCCAGAACGCTGTGTGTATGTGTGTGTTTAAAACTTTTTTTTTCTGAATTGAGGTATAATTGACACATAACATTGTATTAATTTTACATATGCCACATAATGATTCAGGATTTGCATACACAGCAAAACAATGAGCACAGTAAGTCTGGTTAACATCCGTCAGCACACATAGTTACAAAATATCTTTTTCTTGTGATGAGAACTTTTAAGATCTATTCTCTTAACAACTTTTAAATATACAATGACAGTCGCCATGCTGAACATTACATTTCTAGGACTTACTTATTTTATAACAGGGAGTTTGTATCTTTTGCGCCCTTCATCCACTTTGCCCAGCCCCAAACCCCACCTCTGGCAACCGTCTATCTGTTCCCTGTATCTACGAGTTGGGTTGTTTTTGTTCTAGCAGAGAATCTACTCTTGACTCACCACAAGACCTTGGCAAGGCAATATCTTTCCCTCTGTCTCAGAGCTGGATCACCTGGGTTTGAATCCTATCTGACACTGCCAGCTGTGGGAACTGAGCATGTTACTGAACCTCTTGCTGTGCTTCAGATTTCTCATCTGTAAAATGGGGACAAAAATAGTGCTTACCTCACAGTATTGTTGTGAAAACAGCATGAGTTCAAACATGTGAAACACTTAGAACAATGCTTGGTACAGAGCAAATATTGAATAAATGCCAGCTGAGATTATTACTAGGATTATTATTAAGATGGTGGATGGGGGGGGCGGACGGCAAAAAGATAGTATTTGTTTAGTGGCAAGAGCATGTGCTTTGGGGTCAGACTGACCAGGGTCCAACCCCACTTCTGTCACCTGTGCATGGGTTGACTTTGAGTAGGTAGGTTCCCTTCTCTAAGCTCTATTTATCACAATTGTAAACTAGTGATGGCAGAGGCTTAGGGAAGAAAGATGGCCAGTGCTTACCCCTAGAGGCCTTAGAAAATGTGAGTTCTCTCTTCTCCAGTCCTCCTATTATACTCCAACATCCACTGTTGAGCCCCAGCCCTGCTCATCCCCCATCTCCTATTACCCTCTTTCTAGAATAAAAATTTCCATATCACAGGGCAGAATTTAGCTAAGCATTTGGAAGTCACTAGCCAATAAAACTGATTGTATTCAGGTGCGAATGACTGATAACCATAAGCCTCCAGGGCATATCTATGTTTTGAAAAGAACTCTTTGTACGTAGCAGGTGTCTAGTACATGCTCATTAGCTGAGATCATCTCTAATGGTGGAATTTCAGGTAGAGTGGAGGAAGAGATGGAGCACATATGGGGGAAAGAGCTTCTGGCTAATACCAAATATACCAAAAGTTCACCAAGCTGGTCCTATCTCTTTCCTGCCCTAGCTGTGATGATCACGTGGCAGTCCCTGGTCACAAACAGCATTTTCAGGCCTCCAGACTTCTATCTAGGCCATTTTTCCTATTGTCAAAATTTTATCTGACCTTCTAGGTACAGCTCAAATAATGTCTTCATGAAGGCCTGTGCTAGTTGCCGAACCAGAACTCTCCCTCCCGACCCCCACTCCATTAGCCCTTCTACCACCACCACCCTTGGACTTCTTCCTTGCTAGCAAAGCTGCAATTTTATTCTTCCAATTCCAGTCAGACACTCATTTTTCAAGTCTTTCTTGTAGCTGAGGGTGCCCATGTGACCCAATTTTCGCTAATGAAAAGTTAGCAGAAATTCTTGGGGGTTCAGGAATGGTTTTGCTTCTCCTGACAAAAGAGACAACAGGACTGGTGCTGGGTCTTGCCTCTCCTTCCTTCTTTGAACATGAATGAATGTGATGGCAGGAGCTACAGGGGCCATCTTGTGACCTTGAGGAAAAGCCAAAGCAAACAGGGATGTTGTTGAGCTACTGAGCCCTTGCTCACAGCTGCCTGCTTAGTCAGGATTTTTGGCATTTGTAACTGAACACAATTCTGACTGAAACACATTCTCTCTCTTACAATTCTACATTAATTGAGCACCTCCTGTATGCTAGCACTGGGGAAACTGGTAAACAAGTTGCAGCACTGCTCTGGCTGGTGTGGCTCAGTTGGTAGAGCATCGTCCCATGCACCAAAAGGTCGCCGGTTCGATTCCTGGTCAGGGCGCATGCCCGAATTGCGAGCTCAATCCTCAGTAGGGGGAGTGCAGGAGGTAGCCAATAGATGTTTCTCTCTCTCCCTCTCCCTTCCTCCCCTTCTAAAATCAATAAAAACATACNGAGCTCAATCCTCAGTAGGGGGAGTGCAGGAGGTAGCCAATAGATGTTTCTCTCTCTCTCCCTCTCCCTTCCTCCCCTTCTAAAATCAATAAAAACATACTAAAAACAAGCAAACAAGTTACAGCACTTTCTTCAAGGAATTTCAAGGTAGGCCTGGGGGCTGTTGGAACCCAGGGGCCAAATGAGATCAGAGTCAGTCAAGGAAGGCTCCTGATGGAGGAGATGCTGGGGATGCTGGGGGTGAGTTGGAAGGGCCAGAGGGAAAAATGTACAAAGGCACAGAGGCAAGGGGCCATGAACCACATGGAAAACAGTTGGCAGGAAGCAGTGTTAAAGAAAAATGGGGTTTGGGGAAGGCCCAGAGAACACTCCCACCCCCATCCCCAGCACATCACTCTCTTGAACCACAGTCAACTCTGCCTTGTATCAGACTCTTCTTCAAGGCAGGGAGGGCACCTTGTTGCATAACTCCAGGAGCCACTGTTCTTATTCCCCTTCAGATCTGGGCCCAGGGCTCAGCAGAAGGTCTGACACACCCAGGGTGTGTCTCTTCCACTAGATCATGAACCNTAGCAAATGTTATTTATTTTATGCAGGAAATAACTGAGGTTTAGACAAAGTGACTTGGCCAAGGTTTTCCATCTTACAGATGGACTCAAATCCCACCCTTGCCCTCAGAGAGAACTCCCATTCCTAACCCTGGTTAGAGGCCTCTAGGGCCTCCTCTCTCAGGTGGCCCCACATTTGAGGCTCATCCTATAAGGAAATGGACTAACTTTCTAGGACTTTTCTCCAAAAAAGCCCAGCCCTGCTGAGTCACAGGTGGTGCAAGGGCCTCTGCACCCACAGGTCTTGCTAAACTGGATTTCCCCCTCCATTCAGCCCAGATTTCCTAAGCTCCTACTGTCACAAGGGCCTGGGCCTGGGAGGGAGGGATATTAGGAGACACTGAGCCATCACAGCCTCACAGAACTTTTCCTGCCCAGCTCTCGATCCTCATACTAACCAGAATGGAGACAGGCAGGGTGGGGATTATTGTCCTATTTTACAGGTGGGGAAACTGAGGCCTAGAAATGGAGAAACTTGCACAAGGTCACATAGCAACTCAGGGGCAAGGCTGGCTCCAGAACCCTGTCTCTTGATTCAGGGGCCGCTTATTTTTCCCTGGTGTCCCTCCCTGGAGG